CTAGACCAGGCTGGTCTCAAACTCAGAGATCCGCCTGCCTCTGCCTTCGGAGTGCTGGGATTAAAGGCATGCGCCGCCACTGCCCGGCTCCACTTAACAGCTTTGTGCTATTACTAAAAACCTTCCCTCCTCCTTTGTTCAGGAATTTCCCAGGAGATTAACATGGTGGTACACTCCCATAATGCCCACCTTTGGGAGCCTGAGGCAGAAGGATCGTGAGTTCAAGACAAGGTGGACTATCTAGTAAGTTATAGGTCTGCTTAGGCCTTGCAGCGGGACTGGTCTCAAAACAAAACAACCCAAAAAACCTCTCCCTCCACTGAGCAGCAGCCCACTGTGTCATGTGTGTGCAGGCAGGCACTGAGCGTGCCCCATCCAGCCTCTCTCTGTCTTCCTCACGCTTGTCTTCATCTTTTTTTTTTTTTTTTTTTTTTTTTTTTTTTTTTTTTGCAGGGTATTTTTCTGTGTCTCTTCCTGCCTAGCTTCCTGGCACTTGCTCTTGTAGACCAGGCTGGCCTCGAACTCACAGAGATCCACCTGCCTCTGCCTCCTGAGTGCTGGGATTAAAGGCGTGCGCCACCAACGCCCGGCTGCTTGTCTTCATCTTAACTGCATTTTAAATTGTCGACTTATTTATTTATTTAATGAGGCTGTGTGCCAGCATACCCATGCCACGAGGACATGAGTCAGTCAGAGGACAACTTGCGGGAGTCAGTTCTCACTGTCCACCCTGGTGGATGGGTCCCAAGGATTGAAATCTCCGCTTGTCAACAAAGCATCTTCAGTAGTTAAGGCATCTCACCAGCTCTATGGCATTTGCTTACATTCTCTATAGGTGAGTGTTTTCCTTGCAGGCTTGTGCGTGCGTCCAAAGGCATCAGATCTCCTGGAATGGATGCTTGTGAGCTACCATGTGGGGGCTGGGGACCAAACCCGGGTCCTCTGGAATAGCAGCCTGTGCAGTTAACCACTGAGCCAGCTCTCTCCAGCCTCTCTCTCTCTCTCTCTCTCTCTCTCTCTCTCTCTCTCTGTCTTTGTTTTTATTTACCTTTTTGAGGCAAGGTCTCAAGGTGACACTCCGGCTTCATCCTCCTCAGTGCTGGGATTACAGGCGGGAGCCACCACACCTGGTTCACTTGTCAATTTCACGCTTCCCCACCCCTAGCTCGCTGCTGCCAGTGTATCAGGGCACTTCCTTCCTCCGGGGCAGTATTTGTTTCCACCTCCTTTTTTAAAGGTGTCTGCGACCCCCACAAGGAGCTGCTCCCAGTGGAATTTGAAGAGTCTCTAGTCTGTGTCATCCTCAGGATAAACATGCAGAAAAAAACATCTTGGGCATGGTGTTGCATGCCTGTGATCCCAGCACTTGGGAGGCTGAGTTGAGACAGGAGAATTGCTGTAAGTTCAAAACCAGCAGTAAGGCTGTCTTTTTTTTTTTTAAAGATTTTATTTATTTATTATGTATACAACACTCTGCTTCCATGTATATCTGCACACCAGAAGAGGGCACCAGATCTCATAACGGATGGCTGTGAGCCACCATGTGGGTGCTGGGAATTGAACTCAGGACCTCTGGAAGAGCAGTCAGTGCTCTTAACCTCTGAGCCATCTCTCCAGCCCATGAGGCTGTCTTTTGTGTGTTTGTTTGAATACTCTAATGGGCCTGGAGAGATGGCTCAGGGATTGTGAGCCCTGGTTGCTTTTCCAGAGGACCCGAGTTCGGTTCCCAGCTCCCATGTCAGTTGACTCACTATTGCCTGTAACTCCAGCTCCAGAAGGATCTGAGGCACCTCGGTGGGTACCTGCACTCATGTACGCAGTCAGACAGACACATGTAATTAAGGGCAGGCATGTCATTGGATGAAAGGGCTTTGCAGTGGAAACCTAACAACGTGGTAGATAAAAACATCTAAAAACAGATGGCTAGGGTCTGGAGAGATGCCTCGATAGTTAAAAGCTTGGTGGTTAAAAGCACTTCTTGCAGAGCACTGAAGGTCTATTCTCAGCACCTACATAGCAGCTCACAACCTTATGTAGTCCCAGTTCCAGGGGATCTGATGCCCTCTTATGGCCATTGAGGGCACTGCATGCATGTGGTACTCAGAAGTGTGCAGGCAAAACACTGTGTGTGTGTGTGTGTGTGTGTGTGTGTGTGTGTGTAAAAATAAATTTAAAAATAGAAACAAGACATGGCGGCATATGAGTAGCTCATTCTTTTCATCGCTGTATAGTAATCCATTGCCTGAGTCCCTCTTCGTACATCTCGATGTCATCCAGTCCCATTCGGTGGATATTTGGATTCCTTTCATTTGGAATTAGAGTCCTTATGGACATTTTTTTCCCAATGCTCGTGTTCAAGTTCTATGGACTACATGTTTAGCATGGACGGCAGGCTGTGAGGCTATGTGCAGTTTAAGTGCATGCAGTAACTCTACACCGCTGCTCCCTGTAAGTCAAAATAATTGCAGCAAAGGAGATGAGGTTGCAAAGCCCAACTGACTTGAACCTGAATTCCGCCTCTCAGGTCCAGATGCTCGCTCAGCACTGCAAGCTGGGCGCCTGAGATCTGTTGTCCCGTCAGGCTGAAGAAGATTAAGGCTGAAGGTTATTGGGGGCTGTCACTGGGGTGGGGGGGTACCTGTCTTCTTACTGTTATTCTGACCTCTGTCCTTAACCATTAATTATTAA